GAGTGGCTTGGTTAGGACAAGTGGCACAAAAAATTGATGCAATTGTTAGTAAGAGTCAATAATGTTAAAAGAGATTCACAAATTCGCAAATGAAACAAGTAGACCGATAGCAATGAATGGGACATGGAAACACACACATGGATAGATAAATGGGGTCGTGCAACCAAGGAATGAGCTCAAAATGTGGAATCCACGAAAAACGCTCGTGTTGCACAACTCTAGAGAGACGCTAGCACGATTGCTCATTAGGCGGATACAACAGTTGTGCACAGCCTATAAGATGCAAAATGTATCAACTTTCTATCCCAACTATGCTATGTATGTATGGTTCCCGGTGATTCACACACGATGATCCAAGATGATCAATATGGTAGTATGGTATGATCAATATGGTAGTATGATATGTAATGTGGCCATGCTATGGCCATTGCTTACAAGCTCTTTGCTTTTCTCTTTTGCTTAAAGGCCTTTTTTTGTTATGGCCACTATGCGAAATGCACAAACCAAGATAGCAATTGTGTATATGTGGGAACAATCTTGTGACACAAGATGATATGATGATACCAAGATGAGGATACCAAGATGATATGGTATGCATGCAATGGAAGGTACGGATCACTAATGTGCACAAGTAACGTTGCTGGCAATACTCAATGACTAGTCTCGATGGGCAAGTGACGCAAAATGGGCTCGGGGTTAACAATGCCATGGCAAGGGAATATACAATGGATGTCGTCGAGGTTACCGTCGAGGGTTTCTCGTTTGTGAGCAAGGACGGATGATGGTTAAGTGGTCAATGTCGATGACGACCTCGTGGCGAAGATGAGTGGTGGTGTGCTCGATGTAGAACAGTTCCTAATTAGCCAAAACACCTTAGGAAACGAAAAAATCGTGAACTCAAAATCTCAAATGTCAAATGGTGGTAGTGCAAAAGCGATGGTGATTTTGAAGGTGACAATGAGGAAGTGATGGGGGTGGTTGATGAAGAAGCAACTGTCCCTAAGTAGCCGAAACACCTTAGGAGACTCAAATCATAACTCAAGCAACCACAAATGCGATGGGGAACAAAATGGGTTAGGTTGCGGAAAACGATGGTGGTTATGCGAATTATATGGTGGAGGGAATAGGCAAAGATGCCAAAGTTCCAAAGATTTGATGGAGTCTAATGGTGTTGGTAGTATTTTTATGGGATTGAGGATGTCAATAGCTTCAAAACGAGCTAAAAAATGTCAAAATCGGACTCCGAATGAATTAGTTATGGCCAAAACAAAAATTCAGTCGTGTCAGTTTCAAGGTTATCCCAACATCCGGGAGTTGGCCCGGATGATCCGGGTAGGTCAACTGGTTTTCGTGCGCGTGGGGTGTCGAGGCGTCCGGGAGAGGGCCCAGCTGATCCAGGTGGATCCGGATGATCCAGGAGCACTTCCGGATGATCCGGGCAGGTCACACTACTCGGGATTTCCTCTCAGGGACACGATTTTTGGGTAGAAATGGATGATTTTGGGGTCAAAATTGAGGAGATTTCGTGGATGGAAGGTGGGAAAACTTGTGGGGAAGCTAGATCTACGAGTAACACATCAAATCCATGGATCAAATCCAACAAAACATCATCAAACCAACAAATCACAAAAAAATGGGGCTATTTTTGGTGGGGATTTTCAAATTTGGGACGAAATCAACAAAATTATGCTAGAAAAATAGGGATAGGGACTCCAAATTCATGATCAACGTGGCTCATGATACCAAGATGATGTAGGGTGGAACCCTAAGGGCCGATCTTTCACGATTTGGAGGGGGTCCCGTGAAGAACATGAAGAACACACGAAGAACGGGAGAGAAATCACAAGGGGAAACACTCAAAAACAAGTCCAATCACACATCCACTAGACTAACAAACACATGAACCCACAAGGTACATGAACAACAAAGGGAAATCAGTACTAGATAGAGTTCATCCCAAATCCAAAAGAGATGA